TAGAAAAATCACGAAAATTAGCAAATTATTTTGAGTTATGAATTCGTAAAAATTTTTCTTTTTAAATATAAGATTTTAAAATGTGATACAAGATTTCTTATAAGATTATCTACCTTTATAAAAAAAAAATGTCTATAAGAATGTCAAATTAAATTTTTATGAGCGTTTGAAATTCAAATTTTTACAACATTGGATATTCACTCGATTTCTGGTGTAGCGATTTCCTTACTTTGTTGTAATTCAAAAACGAATGACTGTAGATACATGAAAATTTCACTGAATATTTATATTAGCATTTCCTATACACCTTACAAAAATATTTTGACGCTTTTTGAGCTGTTTATGGACATTTTTAGTTTTCAATTTTTCTAGTAATTTTTTTTTATAAATATCAATAAAGTTTTATCTGTTGGGCGAAGAAGTGTAAAAATTTAATACAAGGATTCTTTTTCATCGAATTTTTACATCGAATTTTGACAAAATTTATGAAATTTAAAATTGATATTGGGGTCGAACTGGCCGACCAAATCAATGGGTAATTGTAATGGATGGTATTAAATTTGAATTCAAAGATGTAATATCATCGTATGAGAAAAACGACTCTGAGCGAAGGCAGTCAGTCGCCTATGATATATTGATATTACGGTACTTCATAATATTATTGTAAATAATGTATAATTTATATATTATAACATATTTACGTAGAACATTGTTTTAAATGTTCAGTCCTTAGCTATAAAAGTTAAACATTTTTAACTACTAAATAATTATTAAATTTAAAATTTGATAAATTTAGTCAAAATTCGAGCTTTAAATGATTATAAAAAAAAATTATGACTATGTATTTTTATTATTTATCAACTGCTATTGTAACAATATATCAGGAGCCTTGTATTAAATGTTCACGCTTTTATGCAAAACAAACAAAACTTTATTGATATTCATTGAACAAAAAACAAAGAAAATTGAAATTTGAAATTATCCGTAAACAGCTCAAAACTAATCACAATATTTTGAAAATTTTATCGAGTACCTATAGAAATTGGTAAAATACAGTAGGTAGTATAGTAATATTCAGCGAAATGTTTTTGTATTTACAGTTATTTGTTTTTGAATTAAAATTAACAAAATAAATAAATCGTCACATAAGAAATCAAGTGAACATCCAATGTTGTAATAATGTGAATATAAAACGCTCATAAAAATTTAAATTGACTTGCTTAGACATTTTTTTTTGTTGATAAAAGTAGACTAACTTATTAGAAATTTTGTATTAGTTTTTTAAAATCTTCGATTCAAAAAGGAATATTTTTATGAATTTGAACTCAAAATAATTTGCAGATTTTCGTGAAGTTTACGTAGGTATATTTTGTCAGTATTTGAACTTTAAATGCTTAAAATAAAAAATTGCTTATACCTATGCATTTTTAATATTTTCTATCTGTCTTTGAAACAAGATATTAAAAATCTTGTATAACATTTTCAAGCTTTTTTATCCAACAAATATTATTGATATTTATAGAATAAACAATTTAAAAAAAGGTGCTCTGCTGTACAATAGGTTACACGTGGGTCACTGTATTATGGAACTTATTAAATTTGAATTCAATGATATAATATTGTTGTATAAGAAAAACGATTCTGAGCGGAGACCGTATGTCAGTCTAGGTATAAGACAAATTATATACCTACATATCTATGGTAATAAAAAAAAAGGTGACCTATAATAAATTCCAAATTAATCATACCACAATATCCATTAGGTATTTATAACGCGTGATACATCAATAACAAAACGTGAAACTACCATAGATATATAGTAGAATAGGTACTTTAGATATTTCAAGTACCCGCGAATAATATAATACAATCACAACAAAATAACTAAAATAGTTATTCTATGTTTTATATAACATGTAATTCGTCCAAATTTGAACATAAAATGACTATAAAAATAAACTGTGCTTATGTATTTTTTAGACTTTTTGGTAACAGAATTAACTACTTACTTGAATCTTGTTTTAAATTTTCAATTCTTAGATATAAAAGTTGAACATTTTATAAATTATTAACTACAAAATAAATCTTAAATTTTAAATTCGATACATTTTGTCAAAATGCCTTTAAATAATTATAAAAAAAAATTATGCCTATGTAATTTAAATATTTTTCAACTGATATTGTAACAATATATCAGGAACCTTGTATAGAATTTTACACTTTTTGGCCCAACAAATAACACTTTATTGATATTTATAGAAGAAGAAACTATAAAAATTAGAAATTGAAAATGTCTGTAAACAGCTCAAAATATTTTTGAAAAAGGCATGGCGAATGTTTATATAAAACAAATAAAACTCTATTGATATTCATAGAATAAAAAATAAAAAAATTTAAATATGAAATTGTCCGTAAGCAGTTCAAAATAAATAATATATTTTGAAAATTTTTTCGTGTATAGAAAATACCAATATAAACAACTAGTGAAAATGTCATGTATCTGCGGTCATTTGTTTTAAAGTTACACCAAAAGCCAAAATCGGTTTTGTCAAAAACAGATTTTGAGTAAAAATACCCGTTTTCCTTTAATTTTTTTTTGTTTTTCCGGGTACTTTCGAAAACTATTGGGAATTTTAAATGTTTACCTTCTACAAGTACCAACTAGAATCATTTGCCCTAGAATTAACTACTTACTTGAATCTTCTTTTAAATTTTCAATCCTTAGATATAAAAGATGAACATTTTATACATTTTTAACTACAAAATAATTATTCAATTTAAAATTTGAAAAATTTAATTGAAATTCGATCTTTAAATGCTTATAAAAAAAAATTGTCCGTAACAGCTCAAAACAAGTCAAACTATTTTGAAAATTTTATCAAGTATAAGAATTGATAAAATAAACATTCAGTGAAATTTTCATGTATCTTCAAATATTCGTTTTTGAATCATAACAAAATAAGAAAATCGCCACATGAAATCGAGTGAATATCCAATGTTGTAAAAATTTGAATTTCAAATGCTCATAAGGAAATTACGTTGTTCACACCAAAAACTTTTTCTTCAAAAACATTGAGACTTTTTGAAATAATGAGTTATAAAATAATCACTTGTACTATTTAACAAAAAAATTTAAGTTTATATCCATCATATATAATACCGCATGTTAATAACTTAACATACCAATTATTTATAATGTGCATACATCATCATGTTGTTGTTGTAAACCTAATCGCTAAAAAGACAAACAAGTAAATAGGTTGTCAACTTTTAATTTTATACTTGCATAATTGTGTAGAATGGATTTGGTACATTATGTTTTAGCATGTTATAACTTAAATCAACTGTTTCTTATAAGTTATAATACTGTAAATATAAGATAGCATAAAACTAAAGTGTATTTAAGTTGAACACCAAAATTTGGTATAGCACAATTATTAATTACAGAACAAAACAAATTTTAACTATTGGTGATCTCAGGGGTAAAAGCTATGTGAATTCAAATTGCTTTTGGAACAAAAACACTTAAGTGTTGTGATAAATTGACTAAAGCACCATTTTTAAACACAATAACCTACTAAAGAACTATTAAAATTTAAATTTCTTTATGCATAGAAATAACTCAAAATCAGTCGTTATTTTAAAAATTATATGGCATATAAAAAATGCTAATATGAACATTCGCTGAATATTTAAAGTATCTATGGTTAATTCTGTTTTTGAATTAAAACAATATAAGAAAATTGTTCATTGAGTATTTGCCAATAAAAAATTAATTTAAGTTTCGGGTGAACTTTTTGTTTTTAAGGTAGAAAAACTTATGAGGTAACTTATCTTACATTTTAAAATATATACTATAAATATAAATGTTTATGAATTTAACTCGAATAATTTGAAAATGTTCGTGATAATATTGAACATTGTAAAAATTCTAACTTCAGACACTCATAAAAAACTATTATGAGATTATTTAAGCTCAACTTTTTTAATAGAATAGAATTTGAATAAAACTAAGGAAAATAAAATTTTTGTTATGCTTATAAATAGCTGAGTTAAAATATTTAAAAAAAACTGTATGGTGTATAGAAAAATATGCAAATATAAACATTAAGTGAGAACTGTATGTAACTACAGATTTTTTTTTATTGTGTTACACCAAAAACAAAAAAAAGATTTTGTAGATAACTAATTTTGCTTTAAAATACCAGTATTTTCTTAATTTATTTTTGTTTTTCCCGACACTTTTGAAAACTACTTGGAATTCCCTTGAATGACTTTCAAATATACAAACTAGATTCACTTTCCTACTAAAAAAGTTAGTTAATTTAGCTCAGAATTTAGACATAAGGACATGAGAACTTTTTAGTTTGTTTTTTTTTACTAGGTTTACTAGGAGTGTTGAGAAAAGATGCTACACAAGACATGAATTTGAATGTTTGATGGCTTTCCAAATGTATAACATTTAATTGAAATATGACCACCCAATTGATCTGCTGTATAATTTATATTTATTTATGTCCTTAACAAGTATATTTGGGATGAAATATTTTAAGAAGAAACTAATTAAAATTTAAAAAATAAATCGGGATACCAATAAATATATTTAATTGACATTTACAAAAACTAATTATGTTGTAGGTAATATAAGTTTTTAACATTAATAAACAGTTATAATTTGATTCATAAAATATAAAAAAAAATATCATCAACAATAGATTTGTGAAAACTAAAATTATTTATAATCACATGTTACATCTAAAGAATAGTACAAAACAGTTGTATTTAAAGAATATAATTATTTGGCTAAATTAAACAAGGTTAACTAAATAGTTAAGGATGTGTAAAAAATGTAATAAATTGATTGCTCCAATATCAAGAAGTAAAAACAAATTAATACATACCAATATAAATCAATATAATATTATAAGATATCAGTCTATTTGTAGCCTGTGTATAGCACAAATAATAATAATTGGAATATATGAAGCAATTTTTTATTTTTAATTGTTATTTGATTTAAAAACAGCCCAAAGCCCGGCAGCCAAACTAAATCCGAAAAATAACAGGCCAAATCTCATTCTAGGTCTAATCCATATGGGTACATATCGGAAAGCTCTGTTAAAAGCTGGCTGTTCTTGATGTTCCTGATTTCTGGCAAATCTCTTGTCTTTTTTCCGCTTTGCATTTTCGTCCCGTTGATCTTTTAATAACTTAGCTCTGAAATAATTATGATAACTTTAAAATGCATATACAATTTTTTTTTTTAATTATTCTGAAATAATTTTCAATATTTTTTTTTAATTTATCAATACATATTATAAGATTATTTTCTTACTCTAGTTTTACTCTTTCCTCAACTTCATCTTTGACGTTTGAAAGATCATATTCTTTGTGCATTTTTGTAGCTTCATTCAATATTATTTCAAAATTTAGGCTTTCTGGAATCTGTTGTACAAAATGTGATGTATTATATATTATACAAGTGTATGAGAAATATCATTTATTTAATACCTTCGATAACACCGTGTGAACACCAGCCATGTCACACTCAGTGTTTAAGACTTCATCACGTCTGGAATATATTAACTGCGCTATAACATACAAGATGATTTCTTTTGGTGATGCTAGAAAGTAATCGAATAATCTTACTACTTTCGAGTGTTGGTCTAAGCTATGGCTAAACCATGATATCAACCACGGCAGAGCAAATATTGTACCAATACCAGACCTAAAAGCATAATTATATAATATGTTATTTAAAATTATCTGAAATATATATGTTACCGGCAAAGACGTAAATTAAGGAAATAACTTTGATGACTAGTCAATAGCGATATTTCCAATCAAATTAGACAGTTTACGTTATCGACTAGGAAATAACGCTAATGTCCATTATTCTCAGGCAATGATGAATTTAGAAATATATCCTAGGTAATGACGATAAGTCAGGGCTTTTTCAGACATAATTGATAAACATCTTAAATTAATTGAAATCAAAAATCAAAATCCTATTGTAAACTGGTTGTTAGGTGAACTCTAATTGTAGGAAAGTACTTATTATAAGTTGTAAACAGTGAAGTATGTAAAAGTTTAAATAATGTATTTGTAAATTTTAAGTTGAAAGGTCTTTGAATTGTAAAGTTGATTTATAGATTTATCTGTAATCGGTACTAACAATAATGTTCTTTCTGGCTCTAATATGTTGATTGTAGTACATTACTTAGGTACATTTTAAGTAAAATATTACAGTCTATCGGATACATAATATGTCATCTATATAGTAGGCATACAATATAAATTGCGATAACTTATTTTTTATAATAATTTAATAATACAGTAAAACCTCTAAATAGCGGACACTCACGGGACCGACAACATTTTCCGCTATTGGGAAAAATTAATAAAATAATATGTACGTATTTGTCTGAAAATTTAAATTTTATTGACTTTTTAAAAAATATCTTACTTAAGGCATATCATTACATAATTAACTACAATTATTTAGATGTGACAAAATATATTATACAAAATTACATATTAAAAAAAAAATCTGAAATTTTAGTTTGTTTTTTTCTTGTATTGCAATTTCCTCAAAATTAGACTGGAGTTGATTAACTAATGACAATGAAACTGCATTACTCTTATTGAGACAAAATGTCTTCAGCCTATTCGCTATAAGATTGTTGACGATTATGATCTTAAAACACCAGGGTTAGGTTAAAACACCTTTCCAATCACCAAAGGTGTTTCAAAATCACCCTCCATATTAACACACAACATAACTGTAATTTGTTCTTTACTTATTTTTCCACCACTGCAGTTCTCACCTATGAGACACATTGTTTTATCCTCGGTTTTATAGAGTAAAGCAAGAAAAAAATAAGCCGGTTTCATCAAAATAAAAAATATTTTTTGGAACAATCGGGTATATAATAATATTGTCATAGTACATATTGTTGTATTGTATACACAATTAGTTCGTATTTCTTGGATAGCTGTCCGTTATTTAGATATATTTAATCACTTCGGACTACCTAAACCTGTCCATGTCCGTTATTCAGAGGTGTGCGCTATCCATTATTTTCAATGGGACTATGCGGACTACACAGAAATTTTGTCCATTATTGAGAAGTATCCGCTAATTAGAGGTGTCCGTTAAGAGAGGTTTCACTGTAATTAAATTATAATATTAATACACAAGCATGTCTACTAGGCACAAGCACATTGCATAACATATACTATAACTAGTATCTACCAGTAGTATCTACCTTCAAAGTGTCACAGTACATCAAATTGTGAAAATAAATGATTCAATTTATTTATTTTATTTATGTAAATATTAAGTATAATTTATCTTATATTATTTGACCCATTTAAATATTTCGGTCAACAAAATTATAAACATTGTCATCATTATTAGACATTAAGGTACTTTTCTAGTCATAGTTGTAAATTTAATGTATTAACAAAATATTTGAATTTTACAACCTTGCCAATGTTGTCAGTTAATGTCTTGGCATGGACAATATTGACTACTAATATTAGGAATTTATAATATTGGACAGGCATTTACGTTATAACCTCATTTACATAATTGACGGAAACATGTATGTATATTAAAGGATAAAGTGACTGATTTGTCTTCTATCATAATTGTAAAGATTACGAGTAGGTATTTAATGAGCACAGTCGGCATAAATTGCCTAACTGATGTTTCGATTTTCACACAAGGTGACTGACTTGTTAGTCACTCAAACATAATTTTTAACTTTACGATAAATCACTGAATATGCACAAAAATCATGCAATCCGTAGTATAAATACAGCATCAACATTTAAAAAAATAAATCTTTGCAACGGGAAACGCAAGGTGGGACAGCTATAGTAATCACTATATCATATATTTAAGTACATAAAACAACAATGTTAAAATATTAAAATGATTCATAATAACTGGATTAAATCTCACTTTTCAATAAATTCTTCCAATTCTGGATTGAGTTTTTTAATCAACGGAAAAACGTGCAACAGTAAATATGATGTTTCCTCCATGGTTGGCTTTAGAAATTCTTTTAGATGGTTTGATGATAGATGCTTCATTATACTATATGCTTCATTTTGTCCTACTTCTATAAGAAAAGTAACAGCGACATCGTGATAACCCTGTAATAACAATAAAACAAATGTGATATAATAATAAATATATTATACAAAACTAACTTTGCAAACCAAAATAAATAAAACCAAATTATTTTAGTACTTATTGAAAAATTAGAAATTTAATCGCACATAAATAATAGACATTCTAAAATTTTATATTATCTTTATTATTAACAAGGTTTTTACTATCAGACTATTCTATAACAAAAAATAATATTGAAATATGAGTTGTTAAAAATAAAAGAGAAATCTACTATCAGATTGTCTAGAACAGGGGTCTCCAACCTATAGTCTACGGGACGGTTCTGGCCCGCAAAACTTATTGATTTTTTTGAAAATATATTTAATGTTGAATTATTAAAAATAATTCTTATAAAATATCTTTAATTTAATTTCCTTTCTATCCCTATCTAAAAATGTTTGGCCCATGATGTCGATCACAGATTTGGGCCACCATAAAAAAAGGTTGAAGACCCCTGGAGCAAATCAAATGTACTATAAATATAAAAAATTATTATATTATAAAGTATAAACTATATTTTTAAATTTAAGTATAATATTTCGATAACATTTTATATGATAGGCAACAATAGTTAAAAAATCTGTAAATATCACCACCAAAAAAATATTAAAAATGAAAATTGGCACGATAAAGTATGCAAACCTAAATTTTAAAGTATTTAAACATTCAATAGGTACTAATTAATCAATACTAGAGAGTCTGCCTCCTGATTATTAGGCTAAATTAATTACTTGGTAGTATTTTAGGTCTGGATTTTCTTTAATTACACTCAGTATAATTGTTATTAATTCTTTTTGCAATACACCAATTTTCTCATATGATATACCAGGCGGAAATCTTTTTAAGCACCTCCTCACATCCATATCAACTTGATGGTATTCAGGATGGTCTTTAATAATTTCCAATGGATATAATTGTTCATCAGTACTTGGCAAATTCAATATCAGCTTCCATGCTTCCCTACGTACTAAACCTGTTTTTTTTTAAACCAACAATTTTATTTTAACTCACAATTATCTATATAATTTAGACCTATAATAATGTTTATTAATAAATAAATACTAGTACATGTTGTAGAATAGTGTACAAGTTGGTTAAACGATAATAATTAGAGATCTGGATTTTTCACAAATATTTTCCTTTTGAGAAATAATGCAATTTGTAGACCTTGAATTATCAGTTATTAATATTATTTTTGAATTGAGATATAAGATTTTTAACAATTTATTTTAAACTTTAAATTGAGTAAATGTCACAGTCTTTTATATCAGTGATACTCACGATCAAACAGAGTATGGTTGCCAACAAATTTAAAGGAGTGTCTATCGAAATGAATCTTCATAATCAATATTTAACAGCTGGAGATTTCTGCACTAGTGCTTATTTGTTGTAGTAACTATAAATTCAGTTACCTTTCAAATGTAAATTGTAGTTGCGTGATAGTCACTATGATATATAAGTGCTAGTGTTAAATCACCAGCTGTTTAATTTAACTTTAATACTGATTATTGAGATAAATTTCGGTAAGGCTATACATATGATGGGTACTGCTATGCCACCACTTTCAACCCTTTTATCAATGATAAAATGATAAATAAAGGGGGAAAAATTCATATTCACATAACATTATTAGTCGCCAAATGGCAGCGTAGCATATCTAGTATCTATAGTGACTTAATATCGGTAGACACTTTTCAAGTATGGGAATCTTGATGGCAAAAATAGTATCTATAGTAAAGGTAATACAACCTAAATTCATTTTTAAATCTAAGGTTTGAAAATGTAATACATACAAGATCCCTCATAAGTTTGTCTACCTTTATCAAAAAAAAAAAATTCTACAAGTCTACAATTAAATGTTTATGAGAGTTTGATGTACATATTTTTACAACATTGCATATTCACTCGATTTCTCATGTAGCAAATTTCTCATTGTGTTATAATTCAAAAACGAATAACTGTAAATACATGCAAATTTCATTGAATGTTTATATTTTAAATTTTTAAACACCAAAAAATGTTGAAAATATTTTGAGTTGTTTACGGAGAATTTTAAATTTCAATTTTTGTAGTTTTTTTCTATAAATATCATTAAAATTCAATTCGTTGGGTCAAAAAGCGTAAAAAGGGTTAATACAAGCTCCTGATATATTTCTACAATAGCAGTTGAAAATTATTAAAAATACATAGGCATATTTTTTTTTATAGGCATTTAAAGATGAAATTTTGACAACATTTATCAAATTTAAGTTGAATAATTATTTTATAGTTTACATTTAAAGGGTGAATTTTAACAAAATTTATCATATTTAAAAATTATTTAATTTATAAAATGTTTATTATTATTGTTAAATAATTATTTTGTAGTTAAAAATGTATAAAATGTTAAACTTTTATAGCTAAGGATTGAAAATTTAAAACAAGGTTCAGCGTAAATAGGTTATACCTACTATATAAATTACTTTATTCACAATTATATAATCAGAATAATATCATTGAATTTAAATTTAACACAATCCATTACAGTGACTCACTTGTATCCTACTGTACAGCAGAGCACCACCCATTTTCCCACCTTTTTTTTTGTTTTTTTTTCTATAAATGTTAATAAAATTGTATTCGTTTATTATATTACAGAAGATCTATAATGGTGTAGTGTGCGGGCAGGCCCCACAGGTGTGTAAGATAATTAGTGTTTATATACCTATAAGGTAGAATATTTAGAATATTATAATAAACTGTGATAAGTTTACATTTAAAAAAAATAAAAAAATAAAAATAGGAAACTGTTTTTTCTTTTAAGTAAATTGGTAAGGTGATTAACTCTTCATTTCACATATTGCATCTTGTATACATATCCGAAAGACCACATTTTTGTGCAAGGTAGCTGAAAACTTTTAAAAAGTAAAGCCATTTATTAAAATATATATTTTACTATAAAAAAGTTATTATTTTTGTTTTATTAAATAAAAGTCTGGCAAATAATTTTGTGTGTAATAAAAATGCTCTATCATTGCACAAGTTTAATATTTTGTAAATGTATAGTCAACAAGGATCTTTCCCACAATAATTAGGAAATATATAATAAATATTATAATATCATAGATATTGTTTAGTACCTAATTTTTCAGTTATCAATAATGCACAAAAATGATAGTAGCACAGGTTAATTATTAAATCACTTTGAAAAAATAATATTTTAACATAGATTTTTTTTTAAATACGTTGTGAAATTTGCTTATTGTACCCCTTAAAAAGTTTTTGACTTTTTCTGTGCATTAGCAATGTATAAAGTATTCACTTACTTATCACTAATCCTCCGTCACTAATAGCTAATTCTTTTAGACGATTTATATCTTGGTTTTTATCTTGTAATATTTTGTTCAGCTCATCTACTTTGCCTTTATAGTTCTCAGGCACTTCATTCATAACTGTAAATTACAATTGCAATCAATTATTATACAATTTTGAATCTCTAAAGTTTGAAGTTGGGGTGGCTTGTATACTTCAATAAGTTATACTTTATTTATTATATACACAATTTGACACCAATTATTTTAATGGTAAATAAATGACTAATTAAAATGCAAAATTAATTTTCAAATGATAGCAGCGGTTAAACCTTATTATTTTTACCATACCAGCATATTAAAATAGTTGATATCTTACATTCACAATAATCCATTTTCTGTTTTTTTTAAATTTATAGTGTATTGACCAATTATATAATTTAAAGATAAGGTTCTTATCCAGGATATCTGGAGGCTTTTACAGATATTTTAATAACACAGCAAGTTATTTAGCAAGAATTTTAAAATGATCATAATTTGCTATAACAATTAAAGTATTAATAAAAACAATCAAAATGCCCTAGATAATAATCTATCAATTAAATTGTATAATTGGTCAATAGCTCTTATTTTAAAGTTACAGAGTTAAATGAATTATTGTGAATGTAAAATTCTCTATTGTATAAGACTGTTAGATGGAAACAACAAATTGTGGGTGTCCTCATAATGCGTAATTTTCTTTTTTGATCTCGCAACAAAAAACCTTTTTTAAATATTTAAATTAGTTACATAATTGTTGTCAATTCTAGGTCTAAATGAAAAAGGAAAGATATAAAAGATTGTTATTATTATTATTATTATTATTATCAATTAATAATAATGTTGTTAGTGATAAATCAAAACACAAAAAAAAGAACTACTGGTTGCTTAAAAAATATAATGTTTTGGTTGTTAATATTAACAGTCAACTAATTTATCCTGATAAAAATATTTTATATTATGATAGAATGAAATAATATTGAACACCTATAAAATATTATTCTATAGAATGTTGTATAAGCTTAATTATAAGTTTAAAAATAGCATACTCCCTGAAGTAGACCTTTATTTGTCACTATGTGAACTGTGTCAATTAAAACATAAAACTATTAGAGAAGGATTAGTTGTGAGGGCGAGGAGAAGCTTATAATATTTTAGCATGTGTTTTGAAAGTTACAGAAGATTAAAAACTTTAAGAAATAAACCAGTTATCTATTGGTTGATTGATTATTTCATAAATTTTTAATAATTAATTTGTATTTGCATTTTTTGTATTTGTTTGCATGGATATTCTGATACAACTTCATATTAGACAGCAATTTACAGTCTGTCATCAAAATTTTGTGTTGACATTTAGAGGAAGTAAACCAAGAAAAGTAATTGGGTTTAAGGTCTATTGCCACTCAAGAAGCAACTGGATCTACACAAGGCTTTATTGAATGAGCATGTTCAAGAGGATGTCAAAATAACCGATGTACGTTTTCAAAAAATAAAAAGTATTTAAAATTTAAAATTTCATCCTAACCTTACAGTGTTGTAATAAATAAATACTTTCTGTTACTTAAACTTATTAAATATAATTTATATATTTACTTTGTAACAGAATACTTTTAATCATATATATTTTGTCTTAATGACATTTAAAATAAATTTAAAAAAGTGTATTGTATTTTTTCTTTAAGTATCTACGTTCTACGTACATTTTTGTATTTTCTAGAATAATATAAATATAATAAAATAGTATTCTATATTTATATAGTTATTATAAAGTAATAATAATTAATAACTGTGAATTATCACACAAATTCATTTTAATTTTTTTTAATTTTTATGAATGTATTAGGTATACTCTGTAATATTAAATTGGTACTTTGTAATAAATGTTTTCTTGTACTAATAAAACTAATTGACTTTGGTTTGGTATTATTATGATGAAAGAAAATGAATTTTCCTAGCGATTTCCCTTATCTGCAGATTGCCAATTTGTTGTTTATCATTTTATGAAATGCCTAATTATTTATACAAAATACTTAGGAAATATGTGTAAAAAAATATATTGTACACTTATTTAAAAATCGCCAGTTATTATATAGAATTTCTAGGTATTTTATAATATACTAATATTGTACACTTTACAGACTACTGCTAACAGATACAAATAACCTGTCATCATAGGCATGCGTAGACCTGAATTTTGAGGGTGGCTACAATATTTTTGGGCCTTCTCTTAAGAAGGCATGTACATATTAATCAGTGGTAAATAATTACTAGTACCAAGTTATATATTCTTTTGATCTAGGTAATATCAATTTCTAAGATAATATTGCAAATGTTTATTTATTATTTTATTATTTCATGTTCGCACTTTTGTAGTCAATATCGTCTAGCTATTATCATCATAATAAGTTATTCCACGCAAATTTAAAATATTTTTTTTATCACATATTTTAGAAAAAATTACATTTTATTCTAGCAACATTAGTTAAAATACAAGCCCATATGCTTGGGGACTTAAAGCAATTTTAGGGCCCTAATTAGTTATTACAAAATGTTGGGGGGGGGGCAGATACACCCAGTATCCCCATGTGCACGCCTATGCTTGTCATATAAAATAAAAATCCAATTAGGATTTCAGTATTGCATGAATTAAACATTTTATTATTGATATTCATTCAAAATAATTTAAGTTCAAGCACATTCGGTCCTTGTTTAATGTAGTTGCATTAGTTAGATAAGTAGTTTTTAGCCAAGCCAAGGGTGTCTACCACTAATGTGAGCTTCAACAATGAATTTTGATTCAATTAGGTAGTCACATTTTGAGATACTAATTGTAGCACATTCAAGTTGTATCAAGCTTGAAGAATAAAATCTAAAAAAATTGTTTTTATCTTATAAGAAGGATCTGCTGAATCTTGAAGAATTAAATAATCAAAATGATAACTAAGCAAAGAAAAAAAAATGAGAACTATTACAAATTCTAAAAGAGAAAATAATCACATTGAAGACTTATCTAAAAGCATTGAAGAAGGATAAAGATAATTGAAGAAAAAGATCAAAATCGTAAAACAAAATAATTTGAAGGTACTCCCAAAACGCTAATATTACTATGTTGTGACACTCAATACATAACAAAATAAAAGTTTGGCCAATAAATAATGCTGGTTTGGGGTATTCAAAGAGAGAAAATTAAAACAAGAAGAATTCAGATCAACAATAAACACTTAATTATTCATGGAAACGCATATGCACTAAGTATATCATACAGAGCCGTGTCAAGCAATTCAGCGCCCCGGGGCAATTTGAGCCCTTTCCCTACAATTTGGGCTCCAAGTAGCATATTAAGCTCAAATAACGACGCCCCTTACTTTTACAAAACTATGGCGGCCGGGGACAATTGCCCCCTTTGCCCCCCCTTAACACGGCTCTGATATCATATATGTAAGATTAACTCACACTAAACTTTTTTTTTCACATCGTGTTTTTATGAACAATTTGATAATTTTGGCTATAAAACATTATTGATATTTGCAATTTACAAAATTATTATTTTATAAATTTATACAAGAGGATTATAATGACAGGGGGAAAGCATTTATGAAAGATAAAATCAGAATAACAAAATACAAAAATATACAAATATGAATTTAAAAAAAATACATTAGGCACATATTATGTGAGTTATGTTAGGAAAATTTAAGTGTAAAATTATTTACAAGTTGAAAAATATGTAAAAACATTAATAAAAGATACCTAATAAATCAAAAATTGCACAATTAAATTCATTGATACATAATTCAAACTACAGTAAGCTCATATTTGTATTATTAAGATGATTTAATAATAAAATAGGTAGTTGTTTTTTGTACACATCAGAATCACATCATTTTCCAAACAGCACAGAATGTGATTTAAGTATTTAACAGTAGAAATTAAGATATCATTAATTCTATAATAAAAATGATTAAGAATAAGAATAACATTAGGTTATGTTTACTCATAAGGTTTTTGTTATTGCTTAAATTACTAAGTCAGCACCTTTATATTAATTTACCAAAGTATTCAAATTGAAACGTAGGTACTAGTAAATATGCTATGTAAATATACTATGTAATATTTGTACTAGATAGTTAAATACTAATAATAATAGAAAAAAATCTATTTGTGCTTACCAATCAAGATAGTACTAGTAAAAAGTCTAGAGGGAAATTGTACGAGATCTGTTCCAAATTGAGTGGATTGTACTGATAAATAAGGATGAATACAAAGAGTAGAACCAGTTGTTAGGCAAATAATAATTATGTTTGTTTGTTCAAAAACAAAAACTCCATGTGTTTAATTATGAGAGTTGTGGTATGTACCTAGGCACCTATTCCTAAAGTTATCAAGTTTTAATAAATAAAATATTATTTTAAATTTTAAACATAATAAGTAGGTACTATAAAATATTTAAAAAGGAAAGAAAACTCAATGAAACAAACGTAATAAAAATTAACTGTTTTTCAGGTTCTAACAGGTTCTATTTACCGACATACATAAACAATATTTAAACACAGTAAAATAATTTAAAATTCTTTTATATATGCATTTATTTTTATATTTTCACTAATATAGTAACTATAAGATATCCTCGAAGATATCTAAAATATAAGATATCTTTAATAAAATAAATTTAACTTTCACTTTTAAGAGGACGCAACACCCGCATGTGTTTCTCCGTCTTACATGTGTGTAACATAGCAAATTGACGCCTAGCAGATCACGTTTAGCTCTGTTAGTTTAAAAATTAGAGTGAATCGACCTATTATTTAACTTGTTGGTAAGAATATTATCTGTGTTCGTATGTTGGTTTCTTACGATTATTCAATTTTTTTTTTGAGTTATGGACATTATTAATTATATTATAAATCCATAACTTGATAAAAATTAAACTATTGAAAAAATCAACATCCGAACACAGATAATGTTCTTACTATCAAGTTTTCTGATAGGTAGGTCAAATCACTTTAATTTTTAAACCAACGGAGCTAAACGTGATCTGCTGAGAGTAAATTTGGTATGTTATGCACTCGTAAGACGAAGACAATATACGTGGGTGTGATGTCCTCTTAACAAAAACAAAAACAACATATTATGCAATGGCAGTATATATGTACATACTTTATAATATTGTAAGTTAAATGTTATTATGCAAATATCTCAAATATCTAATTAGTATAGTATAAGAAAAAAGAAAAAGTGTTGGTACCTACCATGTTATTCGGTTCTAGCTCTAAGCCTTCAATTATTAATTACTATTATTATACCTACGAGTAATATATTCAATTACTAGTTGAATAACCTGGGTTTGTCCGTGTGTGGATATAAGTGTAGTATCTACCTAGGTAGTAGGTTTGAGTGTAGATCAGTTTTAGTCTACCTCAGTTCACAGCACAAATCGGTGTCAGTGTAATAATACCTATAAGGACAACCGCAGGTTGCGGATTAGATTTAGCACTTGGTATAAGTATACAGTATACTTTTAAACTAGTTAGGTACTCTCTAAACTTTACTGATATATTTAAAAACAACATTTGAGATTTTCCATCAAAATCAATTGAGTTGTTATTGTGTATATAAGCTACAAACGGCTACAAACATATATTTTGAGGCCATGTAAATGCAACAATTTGATGCATGCTTTTACCTCATCATAGTGACCGATGGCAACCATTTATAAACATAACACATTTAAAATTCTCCCATAAATCCAAATCTTTGTTTGAAGATCTTTTTACTTTGCATCATAAAATGAAACTACCTACTAACCATATTTCATACTCATAGATTCAGAGGTTCTGGCTAGGCGATAGTGAATCAGAACAAGTTCTTTTTTATAAGTATATAGACAACTTTTTAATGAGATTTATAGAGCCGACCTTGTTTTTCAAACACCTCGCTCACCTACTTAAAGCCGCCCTGACTGCAAGGATGTAACATTCTAAATTTATTTGATGTAATTTATATGGAATAGAGTTAGGTACCTACTGGTAACCAATTGGAAAAGTACCAGCAGCCAGGTATCAAGGAACAAACGTAACGATAGTAGAATGGAGAAAACCGATCCTCTAGTGTATAGGGTCCAATCACATAAACATACTCACCCTCGTAAAAGTCCACCTTTGAGTAACTGGAATCAGAGGAGCTGTCGTCCGAATCTGCATGGTCCGTCATCATCGAGGATTTAAGAGTGAAGGTTCGAGCGCCAAATAAGTGTTTTCAGTTTCTGAACAATAATGTGGAGCGGTTTTTGCTGTGGCCTGTGACGGTTTTCACGCCTTGTTCGCAAGCAAAACTCGAAATCGCTTTTACTCAATGGGACGACAATTGCAGCCAACGGACTGACTCGTTGTTATCCATTTGTAGGTTGATGCGCGGGTGGCGGGTCATCTCACTAAAATTATTTAAAATTATTGTTAATGTTATTACGTGGGTACCTAGGCATTTGTGGTGTTATGATAATTGTATAATACTAGTTATTATTATATAGTGTTATTATTACGGTTATTGCTCATTTACTCAGTATTATATGATAATTATTGCGATATTTACGAACGGTCGACAACAACTACAGATTACAATATTTTTCTACTTGTGCTGTATCACCATTGACTATAACACCGACTATAAGATAATAAACTATAATAAATAATAATAATATAGCCCGCGAGACTGTTACGTCATGCTTATCAGTCCCGCGGTTCTACCGATCTGCCCGCTCCCCGATCCCCACTTCACAGTCCGGCTAACCGCTTCGCTCTTACAGTTCCCCGCTCCCCGCTCGCCAATGACGATTCGTACAGCACGTACACAACGCATAGAGTAACATTACATGTTGTGACACAACACGGCGGCACGGCAGCGTACTTTGGTACTATTCAACACTGATACCTAACTACCTACGTCCTATTATTACTTATTATTCAACATCGACAATAAAGTATATTGTTTATCTACCTCGATGTTATTGAGTATAATAATATTAATAATTAATATTTAATATCAACATTATAGTCTAGGATCGAGATCGTGATTTTATAATATCAGTAGTGTCACAGTAATTCGCTATTTTTTTTTCCCTAATTTGAAATTGCAATCTAATTGGTTTACGGTTGTATACATAATTTTATTATAACTGATTATTATAAGTATAATATTGTTATACCATTTCTGTATAATATTAGTATCTATATTACCTACTTATAATATGCAAGCCCGGATTAAGGGGGGGGGGGCATGGCCACGGGCATAGACATATAATAGAATATTATAATTATAATTATATTATATGTCTATGGCCACAGGCGCACAGCAGATATCAAACAATAGTAGGGCCCTGTCGGAATGTACGTTTTTTTTTTTTAAATCAGAAATATTTGGATATTATTATACATTAACGTTTCCTATAGCCTATAGGCTATACTATATCGTTAATGAATAATATGTTATTATTATTACTATGCTATCGTAATATCGGCTATATTGTCTATTTTTAGCAGGATGATAATGGTAACGGTAAGGAAATGGAATTTATAGGTATCCCGAGTACGGTGAATACCGTCGATTACGAATTTACGACGGTTGTAACATTATTACTAATTGTTATAGATATAGGCATATAGCTATAAGCTATAGCTGTTGATAAAACGGATTTTGATGATAAAACATATTATTCCAAAATACTTCTAACTTATTAATCAAATAAATTGTATTTACGTATTTTTTCTACGGTAACAATACAAGTCTTGTAAAGTCTTCTGTTGAAGTTACTATAACGTGGTTATTGATAGTGTTGTGTTTTACAAACACAACAATATTACATGACATTTTAAGCAAAAATCGATTATGAGTGACTGTAAAAAGTATTTAAGTGGTGCTCAGAAAAGAAAAAAAAATAGGAAGATCTTTTAAATTTAATGAAATCTGAGTTTTAGTGCGGTAAAATAACTGAATTTTTTTCTTTTGATGAAAGTGACGATAAACTAATTTCAAACGTTACAGCAGTAGATCATAGTATTTATCTCAAATAAAAGTAAAGCCTGTATAGGTAAGCAATGAAACTATAATATTATCAATTGTGAGTACTTTTGAATATTAACTAGAATAATGAATACATTTATACAATATTATTTATAATGTATTATGTATACAAAATAGATGATATAATTAAAGAGTGTGCTTCCCAAAAAGCAAGAAAAAATTATTTATACAAATAACATGTTTATTTTTGTAAAAAGTAAGAAATAAATTTATAAATATAATTTTAGATTCTGAGTGAAACGATGAATGTATTGATTTTACAATGATGTGTGTTTTTTTTTTATTTTTTTTTATTTTTTTATTTTTTTATTTTTTTTTATTTTTTTTTTATTTTTGTGTCTGTCATCACGTGTTAGGACAGTAAAAGTGCTTGGATTTTCTTCAACAGTAGCTTTTCTGATAGGAAAGTGAATCTAGTTGGTACTTTTATGAGGTCAAAATTTAAAATTTCCCAGTAGTTTTCACAAGCGCCGGGAAAAACAACATAAAAATTAAGGATAAACGGGAATTTTTACGCAAAATCGGTTTTCCAAAAAATCGATTTTGGTTTTTGGTGTAACTCTAAAAGAAATGAACGTATATACATGAAATTTTCACTGGTTGTTTATTTGTTTAATGTTTATATTAGAAATCTTTACACAATAACATTTTCAAAAAAAATTGGTTTGTTTTAAATTGTTTACAGACTTTATCAATTTTCAATTTTTTTAGCTTTTTTCTATGAATGTTAATACAATTTTATTTGTTCAATAAAAATGCGTGAAAATTTAATACAAGGCTAAAACTAATTTTGTTTCAAAAACCGATGAAAAATATTAAAAATGTATACCATAATTTTTTTTTCTAAGCATTTAAACTTTAAACTTTAAATATTTATAAAATACGTAAAAATGACGAAAATGTTCACATTATTTTGAGCTAGAAATTCATAAAAAATTTTTTTCTATAATACAATGTTCCTCATAAGTTTGTCTAAAATTATCAAGAAAAAAAAAATGTCTACAATAAATCAAATAAAGTTATTATGAGAGTTTGAAGTTCAAATTTTTACAACATTGGATTATATTCATTCGATTTCTCATTTAATGAATTTCTTATTTTGTTGTAATTCAAAAACGAATAACCGTAGACACATCCTATGTTTATATTATCAATTCCTATACTTGATAAAAATTTTTAAAATATTTTAAGTTGTTGTGAGGTGTTTCCAGACAATTTCAAATTTAAATTTTATTACTTTTTTTTTTTTTATAAATGTCAATAAACTTTATTAATTGTTGGGCCAAAAAGCGTGAAAATGTAATACAAGGCTCTTGATGTATTGGTACAATAGCAGTTGAAAAATATTAAAAATAAATAGGCACAATTTTTTTATTTTAAGCATTTAAAGTTCGAATTTTGACAACATTTATCAAATTCTAAATTTTAAAAATGATTTTGTATAGTTAAAAATGTATGAAATTTTCAACTTTTATACCTAAGGATTGAAAATATAAAACGTAAATAGGTTATTATTTAACTTCAAAATATAAAAATATAAAAAAAGTTTTTTTTAATTATTTTATGTTCAAATTTGGACGAAATTAAATATTTAAACAAAGAAGAACGCTTAAGATTCTGAGTGGAACGATGAATGTATTGATTTTACAATGATGTAAAAGTTTTATCTGTTGGGCCAAAAAGTGTAAAAATTTAATACAAGGCTCCTGATATATTGTTACATAGGCACAATTTTTTTTTTATAAGCATTTAAAGATTAAATTTTGACAAAATTTATCAAAATCTCGAAAATTATCAATCATTGTAATTAATAAATTATAAAATGTTCAGTTTTTATAGCTAAGGATTGAAAATTTAAAACAAAGGTTCTCATAAATAGTTCATACTGTAACCAAAAAGTCCAAAAAATATATTAACACAGTTATTTTTTACAGACATTTAAATTCAAATTTGGACGAAATTACATATTAAAAAATCTAGAATAACTATTTTAGTTTTTTTGTTGTGATTGAATAATATTATTCGTTGGTATATCCATTAGGTACTTATAACACGTTATACATCAACAAAAACCGTGATACTATCATAGATATATAATAGTACACTTTAGAAGTTTCAAGTACCCACGAATAATATTATTCAATCACAAAAAAATAACTAAAATAGTTATTCTAGGTTTTTTATTATGTAATTTCGTCCAAATTTGAATTTAAAATGTGTGTAAAAAATAACTGTGTTCATATATTTTTAAATTGTTTGGTTACAGTATGAACTATTTAATATTTATGAGAACCTTTGTTTTAAATTTGCAATCCTTAGCTATAAAAACTGAACATTTTATAATTTATTAATTACAATGATTGATAATTTTCGAGATTTTGATAAATTTTGTCAAAATTCAATCTTTAAATGCTTATAAAAAAAAACTGTGCCTATGTAATTTTAATATTTTTCAACTGCTATTGTAACAATATATCAGGAGCCTTGTATTACATTTTTACACTTTTCTTTACAATTATTCGTTTTTGAATTACAACAAAATAAAGAAATCGCTACATGAGAAATCGAGTGAATATCCAATGTTGTAAAAATTTGAATTTCAAACGCTCATAAAAATTTAATTTGACTTTCCGGTAGAGATTTTTTATTGATAAAGGTAGACAATCTTATGAGTAATCTTGTATTAGATTTTTAAATCTTAGATTTAAAAAGAAAATTTTTTACGAATTCTTAACTCAAAATAATTTACTAATTTTCGTGATTTTTCCATATTTTGTCAATTTTTGAACTTTAAATGCTTATAAAAAAAACTGTGACTAACGATTTTTAATATTTTTCATCTGCTTTCGAAACAATATACTAGGAGCCTTCTATTAAATTTTCAAGCTTTCGCAACCAACAAATAAAATTTTATTGATATTTTTAGAAAAAAAACTTAAAAAAATGGAAAATGAAAATGTCCCTAAACAGTTCAAAATAAATCAAAATATTTTGAAAATGTTATCGTGTATAGAAAATGCAAATATAAACAACCATTGAAAATGTCATGTATTTACTGTCATTTGTTTTAAAGTTACACCAAAAACCAAATTAAATTTTCTGAAATACCGATTTTGCGTAAAAATTCCCGTTTTTCC